TTGCGACCAATTTTGTTTCAAACATTTTACAATTAAACAGAAATTGTTCTGGGCAATTTTCTTTCATTAAGAGACAATTTTAAATGCATTGGTTTAATGCATCTCAAATGGTGTTTCCCTAAATTGAATTTCAATTTGTTATCAATCTTGTATCAAACAAATTAAATAAAAATTAATTTCAGTAGTTTTCTTTGAAAAAGAACAAGCAAGAATGCATTAGCCTAATGCATATCAAATGTTATTCCCAAAAATCAACTAACCAACCAAAGACTAATTTCAAAGTAATTATTTTCTGCAATTCCTTCTAAAATGCATAACCGAAGATTAAAATAAACATTGCACTGCCACAATGTATTCCAACTGTTGGCCTCCAGAACTGAATTTTTTAATTTGCAGTCAATCTTGCTCCAAAAGTTAATTCAAAAATTTATTAAAATTTGATTAATTAAAATTAATTTAAAATTACTTTAACCCGCACCTAATAATCCAGCACATTTTTCTAGATACTTAGGTAATTATTACTATTATTTATCGTTATTTACTATTATTTTTATTATTTTCATTATTATTATTTATTTATTACTATTTATTTTGGTCATAATGATCCAATATAAAAAGTAAAGTATAAACTACTAACAATAAAAAAAATAGTAGTGTCCATGTATCCGCCGAACAGAGACAAATCAATAAATATTACGTAAAAAAATATAATAAGATGAAATGAATTGTTCGACGTATGTGGAGCGTGGATCGAACTGTAGGATCGCATTCGTTTTACAGAAAGAGCTGTTCGGTAGCGGAGAAGCCGGTCAACCGGATGGGGTGAGCAGCCGGAAGATGTCGAATGGCTCGACCGGAAGTACCAAGCACAAATGGCTGAAAGCGTTCAAGAGTCTGAAGACGACGAGCTCGCCGACAACACCGCCGTCCGCAGACAAGTCAGTTACGAATGAGAATTGATTTTTCAGAAAATCGACGCTTTTTAAATTCCCACGTTTGTGTTATCGTGTTCCCGCGTCTCTTTTTTCCCCTTTTTCTTCCCACGTAACAATAGCGCGTCTGTTTTGTTGTTCACCACGGGAATTGTGTTGGGCATTTAGCCGGAGGAGTTAGCTTTGAATAACTGGCAATTGTTGTTTCGCGAATGCTGACTAACGCAGAGGGAAGCAGGCGATGTACCATGCTGTTTCGACGGTCGTCGCCATGTCCAGGTGAGAACCTAACTTTCCCGACCTTTCAACTCTTCGTAATCAGAGCCATTTTAACTCAAATTTTATTATTTGTTATTTATTATTATCGAATTTATTATCTTTTTAACTCGAGCCTATTTGAACCAAACTAAAATAAGTTTGATTAAACCAAAGTTTGGTTTAAGTTTGGTTACCAAAAACTAAAATAGTTTTTCTGATTTCTGGTAATCTCTTTTTTTATATAATCTAGCGCATTTTATACATAAGGATGTTCCATAATTATGTTAATACCCGGAAGAAGGTGATTCCTGAGGTCATTTGAAGGAACTTTTTCCTTAGCGAAAATGCAATCCGCGGCTTCGTTCACGAGTTATTAACGGAAAATAGGGGCCAATGAGTGGCGAGCTCGGCTGGCTCGAGGCTGGCAGAGACAACGAGCGGTCGGAGCCCAGTTCCGCTGATTGGCTCGGCCACCTAGCGCTACGCGAGCTCGCCTCTCATTGGTCAATGTTTTTTCATTAAGAACTCGTAAACGAAGCCACGGATTGCATTTTCGCTAAGGATAAAATTACTTCAAATGATCTCAGAAATCACCCCTTTCGGGTGTTAACATAATTATGGGACACCCTGTATATGAAATTGAATTTTGCGACTCGTGCAACAGTTTTTTGTAAATATTTGATAATGTTAAAATTATCCAAGTTGCGGTTTCTGCCATAAAAATTGTTCCTTCAATAGATTAAAATCATATTAAGACAATAAATAAAAGAAAGTTCCGCAATTATTGTTTTTATGTATTTTCTTGTTTATCGAATATTTCAAAGAGTTTGAAGTACATCATTCCTGTCAGCATTGTTGTATTAGCAAGAATTACGATTACAAATTGAAGATTAATATTCATGCTTAGCTCCAGAGATTTAATATTTTTTTTCAATATTATATCACTATCGAAATTACATTGAAACAATAATTGAACACTGAGTACTATGTAAGGAGATGATCTCACAGTTACTATATTTATGTATCATTTCAGTTTGTTGCATTTTGTAAAAGAATTTGAAGTAGTTCATTTCTATTGCAATTGTTGTATTAGGGGTACTGTACTGTGGGGAGACCAATTGCTGTGCCTTTAGTTCGTTGTCGGCAGTAAACTTCATATTTATCGAATAAAACATTTTTAAATAAAACTAAACGAATTTAAAATACAGAAGAATTTAATATGTTTTATGCAGTGAATATAAACTATATTTATAACGAATAATTGTAATTATATTATATAATTATACCGGAAAACAAACCAAAGGTACAGTAATTTGTCACCCCACAGTAACCGGCTCCGCTACGCTATTTCTTGAATTTTAAAAATCTGTAAATACCGTAAATACACAAAGATCCACAATCTACTTATTATTCATCAGGCCATCTTCTCTGCATTAACACTAAACCTACCGAGCCCTAACAGTGAATGTATTTAGATGTTTCATAATCTTTATTATAATGTATACTTGTGTTAAGATATCAATTTTATTATTTTCTGTGAAAGATTCTTTGTAACTTCAACGATTTTAAAACAGAAAATGTGGAAGCGGTCATTTTTGATCGACTCGACAGATTTAGTGTTAGTAAGTTAACATATAGTTTACATTATAGTATATATACATGTACAATAATAATATAA